ATGTGGGCATCATGGTGGCATCACTATGTGTCTCATATTCTTGGCCTCCAACATCAGACACTGTGGGAGATAGGATGCTGAAAGCGGTATTCCTAGGCTCTTATGCTACAGAACCATCTCGTCATTATTACAGGAAAGATCATTGCTGCTGTTTCCAGAGAATAAAAGAGAAAAAAAGTAAAACTTGGATGGATTGAGGAATTAAAGATGAAATGTTAGGCATTCTAAGTATTTTGGCATTTGAGATTTTTTCCTTTAAAATTACAAAACACAGGAAGAAATGAGGCAGTGCTTAGTATTGCTTACTTTTTCAGATGGCCATAGCCCTGAGAGCGTATCAGAATCAGAAAATTATATTAATAGGAATTATAGTACTTGCTGTTTTCAAGACTGTCATGTAGACCTCTGGTGTGAGAGGAGGAAAAAAAAGAAATAAATACCAAACTACCCATGAATTGATATTAACTGCAAAAATGTGAATGGTGTCATGACCTTTCCTGATCACATAATTTCTCCTACCTTTGCAGATGGCGTCTAGCAAGGACTATAGAGTTCAGCTGTTCTGCAACTTTTAGTGTCCCAGAATTCAGCTCCTGTGGTATAAGCCTATGCTCCAAAATTAACTAATGTCATTCATACATGACTGTTGACCTAGATATGTGGCTGACCATGTGAAGATTTGGGTTATTTAATTTCAAGGAAATATATAACTAGTAGAAATGAAAACAAAATAATACTAAAAAAAAAAAACCCTTGTCAATTTTATTAGGTTTCTGACTTCGGTTTATGTGTTTAGGTGCTTTTGACATTTTAGCCATTAAGAAGTAATATATATTGGTTTCTATTATACTGTTTGTAGTTACCTCTGGTCCTGGGGCTTTATCATAGTTCTGTAAAATTGTGAAGAGAACAATTCAGCATATTATTGTATATGAACTTGTGATATAGATGGCTTTGATTTTTTATAAATTATTGGGATTTTATCTGATAGGCATTGGTTTTGTTCTTTGAGAAACAGTTAAATAATGAACTTGACAGGGAAAAGCAAGGTCTTTGAATAACCAAAACAAAAAAATCACAATTTCTAGCTAAGAGTCTGTAGAAGTGAGAGGGGACAAGAAGGTTGCTTGGTTGATGTCTTTAGCCCAGGTGATCCTCTCTGTGCAGGAAAGAAATAACCACTACTGATACATGTGAGATGCTGTAATTCCAAGTGACAACAACACGTAGTTTCAAGAATTTTAAACTTAAAAACATAGAGCTCAGAATCTATCAGGAAAATTATCATAACAAAACAACCAATCCCAGCTGAACCACACTTCATTTAATATAAAGGTATAAATTGTTCTCTAGGGCAGATAATATCTTTTTATTATCATACTGTGATACTGGCATCACAGTTCTCTAAGTTTTTCTGCGTTTGTGACAAGCACATTGTGATTTGCTTCTTGCATTCGGTCTGTCTCTAGCCAATGACTGTTTCTTTCCAGATTCATGATATTCACAGACATTCTTTTTCTTATTTATCCATGTGTGAAAACACCAGTCTATAGCTGTTTTCTCCCCCTGAAAATTTTTGACAGTATTCTTACCTTAATGATTAAATATTGTCCTATTTCTGTGTTCTTTCAACTTCTGGTTCCTACAGGAACTCAGTTTTGATGTTGATGGGATGGAGCTTAATTAAGAGCTTCTGATATTCATTGTGAATATATGGAGCTGAACAGGCAGTCTTCCACAACTTTAAATTTTTTATGCGTGAAACTCCTCTTAACAATGAAGCATCTGTTCTCTTAAAGGAAACCATTTTTCACACACATTGGCATTGGGAGCTCTTGTGATCAATTTATAGTGCAGGTGTAAATGTTCTGTTTGATTCGGGTGCCTTAATGACACTTTGCAAATCTGCTGTTTATGTAAATTATTTAATCTACACAAATCTGTTGGTTTAGATGTGGAGTAATCAGTGTCTCTAAACCAAAGCAAGCACCTCTGATTTTGGCACAAAACCCTAGTCATATATTCCACTTATTCCCTGCTACAGTTATAAATGGTAAACGGCAGGCCTTTTAAGAAATTCCCCTGTGGTGCAGCTAGCAGGAGATTGCTCGATTGTATAATAATCAGATCTGACCAGATGGTGTTGAGGCTGGGTACTAAATGCTTTTTAAGCTCTCCTGCTAGGTTTTCTCATTTAAAAGTGGAGAAATCCTACTTTAAGGCCTACATGATTTCAAAGACACCTTGCTACTAGGCATACAGAAGTGCCTATTCTGTCATATGCAAGAGCACTTCACATTTCCAGGCAATGGGGGGAAGGATCATGACTTCTTTAGAAAGTCAGTGTGCTGCTCATGGAGAGTGCCAGCCCGATAGCTCTGGAGAAGAAAAGTTAATTAGTTAGGGAACGCATAAAGATTAGATACAGGAAGTGGATGGCAAGTACTCTATTAGTGCTTCATCTTTGTCCATCTGCAAAATGTCACAACTTTGGAACAAAATATCGCAGCTGAAGGAAGGACACTTAAGGTGGGTTTCAGCTCACAAATGGAAGGCCGACACTGAGGTGCTCCATGGAGGTACCTGCAGGTGAGTCAGGTGTCTCTGCTCCTGCTGTAGTCACTGGAGATGAAATCAGTACTGCCAATGCTCGTAATTTCATAAGCTACGTGGGCAGGCACCTCCACTGACTGTATTGACTCGATCTTCATCAGCACTGATAGGAGTTTAAATACCTGGCGCACACTGCAAATAGCTTATTCTGGACACCAAAACGTGGGCTGTTAATCACTGAACTGCCTCTAACCCCTCATTCCTGCTGAGTTCATGAAAGTACAGTTCTGATAGCTCTGGGAAGTATGCAGAACTTGTACAAAAGCTTCTTGCAAGCCAAGGCTGGATCTGAACTGAGAGCCAAAAGTTTGTCATCTCAGCTACTTAAGATGGCTGGTTCTGTCTACCATACTCAGATTCGTTCGGATTAGGCTCCATAGGATTTTTTTTTTTTTTTTTTTTTTTCAGTATCAGAAGTTAATGAGCCAGTTGAAATGCTACTGTTTTATAACAAGCTTCAGTATATTTCCTTCTACTGAATGCAAGTTACATTCAGCAACAACCCTTTTGAGCCTTTTTCAATCTATCTATAGAACAGAAGGCTTTTAAAATCAATAAAAAATCTACTTGCCTTAAGATAG